CTTTATTCACACTATGCGATTTGGCATTCCTGCCACAGGAACCTATGGATTCTTGCAGCAGGAATCCCAAATCTCCTGCTATCAACTGTTCAAGATAATGACCGGGTGACAGCGGGCATATCTGTAAGCGTCAGTCCGCATATAATCTTATGCGATACGATAACATGAGGTTTGGAATAGATCACTGTCCCTGGTCGCCCGCTAGCCCAGCGGTGGGCAACTCCGCCCCTCCAGCTGTGCAACTCCGCCCCTCCAGCTGTGCAGCTCCGGCCCACCAGCTGTGCAGCTCCGGCCCACCAGCTGTGCAGCTCCGCCCCTCCAGCTGTGCAACTCCGCCCCTCCAGCTGTGCAACTCCGCCCCTCCAGCTGTGCAACTCCGCCCCTCCAGCTGTGCAACTCCGGCCCACCAGCTGTACAACTCCGGCCCACCAGCTGTGCAATTCCGCCCCTCCAGCTGTGCAATTCCGCCCCTCCAGCTGTGCAACTCCAGGCCACCAGCTGTGCAACTCCGGCCCTCCAGCTGTGCAAGGAAGCCGGGCAGCGTGTAATGACTCACTGCCCGGCTTCCTGATACCTGAAGTATCGGGCTAGGAATCGGGGCATTTGGGCGAGTACTCGCCCAAATACGTGGCATCGGCACCGATACTAGTGTCTGTATCGGTGCATCCCTAGTTTCTAGTGTACCAGTATGAATCTGGAAGCTATGGGCAATGCTGGAACCATTCTTGACTCATACCCTGCCATTAATTGACACATAAAGTCTTTACCTGCATAACACGAACCGCGGGATTCTGGAGGCGGACGGCCGTCGGCAGAGGAAGGATATTCTTCAGGTGCTCTGTAATCAGATTTAGCAGAAAGGTGAAAGGTCATTTCCAGAGATTCTCCTATCACATTACTAAAGCCAGCCACACGTATTAAATAAATATCAAGCAGCTTAAAGAGTGTGTTAAAGTTGGTTCAGTAATGGTTGCATTATTTTCAGGGCTACATTCATTATATTCTGCATGGAATCCACCTATAGAAAAAGGAAAAAAAATAGCTTTCTTACCAAATCCACAATACACAACAGTCACACATGTGTAAAGAGTATGCAATATAAACATTGTCTCCGCTTTTAATAAACTCTTAGAGGTCCATTTGTAAAAAAAATTGCATCGCTTTTTTGTCTAGCAAAACTGCATACACACTCGTTCTGTGCGAGCCAACCAGCTGCTGTGAGAGTGGGGCAAAAAACAATGTTATTGGTGTAATTTCATGTAATCGTTAATGGGGGGAAATACCGCAGTATGGCCACTAGAGGGAGCCGAGGAGAAAGTCATATGTTATTATGATCCCCGGCTCCGTCTTGTGGCCATAATGTGCTATTTTCCCTGGTTTTGTTCCATTCTCACAACAGCCGGGCAACTTGCAAAGAATGAATGTACTTTGTTTTGTTGGAGGAATAAGCTATGATTCATCAATAGACCCCCGAAAAGTCAATGTAAACTATATATATATATATATGGGGTTTTTTCCTCTCTCTCTCCATCCCTCTCTCTCCATCAGTCCCCCTCTCTCTCTCTCTCCATCTCCCTCTCTCTCTCTCCATCAATCCCCCTCTCTCTCTCTCTCCATCTCCCCCCTCTCTCTCTCCATCCACCTCTCTCCATCAATCCCCCTCTCTCTCTCTCCATCCACCTCTCTCCATCAATCCCCCTCTCTCTCTCTCCATCCACCTCTCTCCATCAATCTCCTCCATCTCCCCCCTCTCTCAATCAATCCTCCCCCCCTCTCTCTCCATTCACTTTATAGGGGTTTCATCTCACTTCCTGTCATCGGACAGCAACAAATTGTAAGGTGTTTTTATCCCTTAGTTGCTCCATCCAAAACCAAAATACATTTTGTTTGTAGTTGTACATACACGTTTGGTGGTGGGGTGCAAAAAGCCGTCCCTGAAGAGAGTAGATTACAACTCCCGCTGACCGCGCTGCGCAGAGAAATCTTCCTCTGATGTCTGTTCCAACATTGACATTTCTGGGATTGTCCGTCTCCTGGTTACCCCGCTGTGCTCAGTGGCTCCTCCCACTGACTTCCATGTCACCATAAGACACAGTAGTGACACAGAGGTTGGCGGAAGAAACCACTGAACACAGCAGGGGACCGAGAGATGGACAGTCCCAGAAATGTCACTTTTGGTACAGATGTCAGAGGAAGGATTTCTCTCCATTGGGGCAATACAAATGCCAGCATGTCTCTGCCTCTGGGAGCCATGCCTGTAACTGTCAGTCTTGCAATGCCTCCTGGGACTTGTAGTTCCGCAACAGCTGGAGGGCCAGAGATGCCCACCCTTGCCTTAAGCCTTACCTGGGAACCACGGTATCCCAAATTAAAATCCATTGGTCAGCAAGTTATTACTTTATGGATGTAAGATCTTACCCTCAACCATCAATTCCCATCTGACAGACAAATACGATCGCTTCCATTTAAGTACAAATCAGTCCTGAAACGCCAGCATCACCTTGTCCATGCAGAGCACAGTGACACCGCATAGGGGGCCCCCTATCCACGCATATCTTACCTTGCCACTACTTCCTGTGTCACAGCCGGCACTAAAATCACCAGTGTTGGCGACTATGGGGAGCGCTGATGTCACCGCCTGGGTCACAGAGCTGGAGCATGCATGCTGTAACAGTGTCACATGACCTTATCCCTATACTGGGTCTAAGGCAGTGACCACACGGATCGCCAAACCTCAGCAGGAGGTTGCAGCAACTGACAGCTTCCTTGGAAACTGCTGTTCTCACATTACTTCTAATGGTGGAATTAGGTGATTACAGGTGGTAAGAGTGGGAGTAGGCAATCTTGGTACTCCTGCTGTGCTGAAACTACAAATCCCATCACGAATCTGCCTCTGTCTTTGGCTGTCAGTCTTGCAATGCCTTATGGAACTTGTAGTTCCAAAACAGTTGGAGTGTTGCGGTTGTCTGATCTGGGCTTTGTTCACACTTGAGGAGTTCTGCTACCCTTGCTCTAGTGTTATTGGAGGGCCCAGGTTGTTCCCACTGCTCTGCCCCACCACCAGGGGGCTCAGGTACTGCACAGCACCCAGGACACACAAGGCCTTCCCTCTACAGCACTCTTGTGGTATTGCACCCAGGAGGGTCTAATGCACTTTCATGGAGTCACACACTCGAAGCCTGCAGCGCTTTCACAGATACACCACAGAGGTCTTTAGCGCTTGTGTGGATTTGAACCCAGGTCTCAAGCACACCAGTCAGAGCTCTCATCCTCTGAGCCACCGCCTCAGCTCAACCATTGAAGTGCTCGTTCTTCTATTTCAGGAGTAGGAAGAATTTACACAATCCAAAAAAAAGAACCAACAAAAAACATAATAGAGCATGTAATCAATATAAAACAGTGGCTGCCACTGTTGGCATCCTTTCGGCTGGCATTCCCAGATCAGCTGATCGAAGGGGCTGGTCGGAAAATCTTCGAATATCCAGAGGCGGCAGTCAGTGAGCTGCTGGCTCTGTTTGGGTATATAGCGGCCACCGGCTGCTGTCAGGATACAATGCAAACTGGACATGTGCGATTCCTTTCATTCCAAATCAAAATTGAGATGAATTTTCCACATTCTAATTTTCGGATTCCTGTCTGAATTTCATTCAAAAACGAAACTGAATCGAGCATGTGACTTTTCTGGCCACTCAGATGTGTTTTTTATTTTAATGCATCCAAATGGGTCTGAATACGAATTTTCGTTATGGCAACATGGCAGCCATATACGGTATTTACGTATATTACTAAAGCTGAGGCTCCTAGACCCGAATGGCATTTGGGATCTGCATTGCATTGGGGAGCTCCTGAATGCCATTCAGGTCTGGGAGCCTCAGCTTTAGTAATATATGTATATGGCTCCGAGGACCCAAATGACATTCAGGATCAGAATTTCCGAATTGCATTCAGAAGCTTCCGAATGCCCATTCGGGTCTGGGAGCCATATACATACCGTGTTTCCCCGAAAATAAGACAGTGTCTTATTTTTTTTTTTGCACGAAATAAGACACTAGGTCTTATTTTCGGGGGATGTCTTACCTGGCTGGGGGAGGAGTGGACGAGGTCCCGGAAGGCGGTGTGCTGTTGCCGGTCCCGGCGGATGTCGCTTCCATTGTGCGTGTGTGCGTGCGGGAGCTGCGGCTGGCGTGTGGGCGGGGCAGGAGCTGCGTGCGTGCG